AGCGCACGAAAGGACCAGCTCGACCTGACCCTGGCGGAGGACTTCCAGACCAGACCGCCGTGCGAGATGTCAAAGGAACCAACTACCTGGTACTCGGCATCATCGATGAAGTCACACACCTGCATGTCGGCACCCTACTGGCCAATCGAACACCAGAGGAAGTCACCAAGAAGTTCATGCTTGCATGGGCTCGCCCATTTGGCTTCCCTCTCAGGCTTCGAACCGACCCAGACGGTTCATTCCGCTGGATGCCATGGACGAAGCTGAAGTGTATGTTGACTACATCCCAGCAGAGGCACACAACAAGATAGGATTGGTGGAGAGACACAATGCCACGTACCGCTCACTGATGGAGCGCATCGTGGACGCACAGGGCGTGACTGGCTACGACCAGATGGACATAGTCACAGCCATGGCATCTCACGCCAAGAACAGCTGCACATGGTCGACTGGCAGGCCACCATATGTTGCAGCATTTGGCCGCATAGCAAGACAAGGCCTTGAACTCCTGAGCGACCCACACGGCCTCATCACAGGCCAGACCAGGTCACAAGCACAACAGTTCGCAGACACCATACGAGCTGAAGCGCAACAGCAGTTGGCCGCCATGTCCATTGACAGCACACTGCGAAGAGCACTACTTCGCAACACCACTCCGGGTCCATCCGACATTCCGGAGATCGGAAGCACAGTCGCCTACTGGCGGTGGACAGCCCGCAGCGGCAAGAAAAGAGAAGGCTACAAGCTGGCAAGACTCCTCGGAAGAGACCCAGATGGCAAGAGTCTCTGGCTCCAGGCCGGCACGAACACCACCATCCGTGTCGCACCACACCAGCTCAGGACCGCAAGGGGCTTTGAGTGCTGGAACCCAGACTACGAGCAGATCAAGCAACTTCGAGCTGCAGCAGACAACCTACAACATGGCATCCTACAGGATGAAACCATTCCAGAGCCACCAGAGGATCCAGAACAACCCTTGGGACATGACCAGCTTGAAGCAGTACCCGATCTGCCGGCGCCAGATATACCTTACTTATCTAGTACCACCACCGTCCGAACCAGCGACCGCAGCAGCAGACCAGGCAGAGGAGGCAGTGCAAACCGACCCATATGAGCTGCGCCCAAAGAACACATCAGTTGAGTACCACCTCAACGTGCACTCACCTACATACAACAAGACAGTGATTCAGTCACAACACAGCTTCGGCATGACACCCGAGCAATGGATGCAGCCTCCAGTCAATGCACCAGTGCGGAAACAACACCGGTCTCGTACACCCGCATCCAGGACTCCCAGATCCATTCGAGGCCAACCTACAACACCAGCATTGGGCGATGCTGCAGGACAAGCCGCAGCATCCACATCGGCGCAACCTCTTCTACCACCTCAAGAACAGGCTGATCAACCATCAGCACCTACACCAGGTCTACCATCGTCTGTGATGCCTGAAGTCATCGACATAGAGGCCATACCAGACACACAGGATCCGGCGCTTGGATCCATTGTGCCTACAACACCTCCGGAACTTGCCGGAGATACACCAAGCAACAAGAGAGCAAGCACAGAGATGGAACAACCGATCCCGTCTCAACCATCCTACAAAGCACTACTGCAGCAGCACACCAAGCAGCAGCAGATCGACCAGGACACATACCACTTGCACGGCTACAAAAACATGGCAAAAGCAGCAGACCACACACTACAGGTCTGGGCACGTCGAGACACAGCAGCACAGGTCTTGCAGACCACACATTTTTGTGGACCGCCCAAATGGTCCATCAAGCACAGACGGGTGCTTACATACCCAGAGGGCAAGCTTATTTGGGATGCACCCTACTCCGATGATCAGCAAGGTCATCACCTTTTTCCACAGCGCACCGATATCATTACGGAGCTTTGGCACGACAACCATGCCGACTACTACAACCTTGTGGTCAGCACAGACGGCATTCAGCAGCAGGAGACACACTACGACGGCACAGAACACATCCACATGCCATACAGCTGCCGCATAGCCTTCCAAGCATACAGAGTATCACCAGAGTACGCAGGCGACGGACAGTCAAGCGACTCAGATGCCTCTGCTGACGACATGTCAGCAGGACAACCCACACTCAGCAAAGCAGGCAACGGCAAGGTCAACAGAGCACTCACCAGACAGGGGCAAAAGGCTCTTGACAAAGAAGTGCCATGGCAGGCAATCATGGAGATGGAGCCTCACATCGTCCAAGAATATGTCAAATCAGCTCAGGCTGAAGAGAGCTCATGGAATCAGTTCAACTCCGTGATTCCACGCTCCGATGAAGAAGCCAAACAGGTCTTCAAGGATCCCGTTCTGGCCAAGAGAATCCTCAAGGCAAGAGCGGCCTATCGGGACAAAGCAAAAGGCCAGGGCCCGATCAAGGCCAAGTGTCGTGTTGTTGCCCTGGGTCATTTAGACCCTGACTTGAGAGAGCTGTCAAGAGAGAGCGCAACTCCCACCAGACAAGCTGAATACATGGTCTATGCCTTTTTCACTTGTGGAGTCAACCACATGCTCCTCGACGGCTCCGACAGTTGGCATTTGTGGTGCGGCGACATCAAGACCGCCTTTTTGCAGGGCACTCCGGAACCCCGGAAACTGCCACTCTTCTTGCGTCCGCCACAGGACGGAGTAACCTCCCTTGCTGGAACATTCCGGGCCCCGCTGTACAAGATAGTTGGCAACATTTACGGACTTGCCAGTGCACCACGCACATGGACCATGCATGTCGTCAAGACATTGGTCAACGAGGCAGGCTTCCAACAGCACACGTTGGACAAGATGCTGTTCTTCAAGTACAGCAAGTTGCCAGGAGACCAGCATGAGTCACTTGTGGCCATTCTTGTGGCTTACGTGGACGACTTTCTGCTGTGCCACAACCAGCGTTGGAACAGGGCAGAGCTCACCAACCTGTTCAAGTGGGGAACGCAAGAGACCCTGTCGGTCACCAACTCCCTGACCTTCAAGGGAAAGGAGATTCACCTCCGACACGATGGGAAGCAGTACTACGTGTCCCTCACACAGAGCAGTTTCATTGCCGGCATGCAGGTTGGAAATGTTCGCTGCAAAGGCCGCTTGGAGGAGACGCTGAAGCCGGAAGACCTTCCGGAATACCGCAGTGTGGCGGGTTGCCTGCAGTGGCTGGCAGGACAAACACGTCCAGACATTGCGAGCACAGTGTCATTGTGCAGCAAAGGTGCCAAGTCCACTTACCAGGACCTCCAGAACATGTACAATGCGGTACAGCACCTCCACCAGAGCAGTGACGTCGGAATCAACATGTGGCCTGTTGCATTGAATGCACATACATTGGTTGTGAGTTTTTCAGACAGCAGTTGGGCTAACGCAGCCGGATCAGCCTCACAGCATGGCTCACTGATCACGCTCGCTGAACCAAAGGCCACCGACACCGTGAGCCAAGGGCTTCTGTTGGATTGGAAGAGTTCACGATCCGCAAGGATCTGTCGATCCAGCCTGTCGGCCGAGTCGAGCGCCGCTGACACCAGCATCGAGAGAGCTTCCTTTTTGGCCTACATGATGGCTGAGGTCTTGCAGAAGCAACCAAGCTTCAAGCTGAGCAGGGTCCACAGAATCATCGCTGTCACGGACTGTTGCAGTCTATACGACATCCTCGTGAGCGAAAACCCCCGCACAGAAGACAAGAGGACCATAGTTGTGGTCAGGGGGATGCAACAGTTCGTTGGCAGGGAGGACATGTTCTGGGTCCCCACGACCTTGCAATGGGCAGACGCCCTTGCGAATCTCAACGACAAGCTGCTGGAGACTTTCGTTGTTGGCTGTACAGGCCATGGATCCAGCTCCGTGATGCAGCGAAGGCCCATTTGACTCAACAAAGTATTGGGAATGTGAAGTTCAGTCAAGACCCCAAGAGGAACCCCAGCACCTGAGTCAAATGATCCGACGCCGTCGCGGCACAAGGTGCGCACAGAGCCGAATCGCATTCGCAAAAGGGCCGCGTCCTTTCTTTGAGCTAGGTACATGGTTTGCACGTATCTTGCTTAGATCAACATATATACATATATATGGTATACAGAAGCCTGCTTGCTTTCATGTTCGACTTCTCAGGATGCTGTGGATGGTTCTTACAAGATCTATCATGACACAGGCCTTCAAGGCTGGGTGGGCCCATACGACATCGCCGAGTTTACACCGGCGGCTGGCACGGAGGATTTGACGAAGTATCTCGTCGACCCCGCGGTGAGACGAGCCGCAGCCGCGGCCCCGCGCGCACCGCGGGCGCGTGATGATGCCTCACCACCACCGATTCCCACGGAGCCAGCGCCCCGCAAAACGCTGAGGGATATCAAACTGCCCAGTCTATTTTCCTCAAGGAAGTCCTGATGTACTGCTCTAAGTGGTACTACGTGGTTAGTGTTGTTCCTCGTTTGTGCTCGTGATTGTCATCACCCAAGGTGGGACAGCTGATGCACCGACTTTCACTCCAATTCGATGCCCCAAGGATCCCCATTCACGGCCAAAAAGGCTCTTTCAAGCGTCGAGGGGTAGCCCCTATTTTGTGATCGCTCTGACGGAGTCGATCGGGCTGGAGGGGTGAGAGATGGCCAGGATCGAAAGGAATCGAACCAAAGGACTAGGTACATATATATATATACATATATATATATTTGGCATGGTTGAGGGTTTTGACCCACAGCCAGAAGAACAAAAACATCCCCCCGGATTGGCGTGCCCCTTCACTTCTGGAAGATTGGCCGTGCTGATCCAATGGATCAGTCAGTGATCTTAAGTTATTTGAATCTGCTATCATGTCTGGCAAAAGCTGTGACATGTCAGCGGCCCACCTGAGACGTTTTTGTGGGCTTTTGCAGCTCAGGACAGAAAAGAGATCCCATACGATGGCCCTCTGCGCCGCTTTTTTGAACACCAATTGGACCATGGAAGGCCACCCTTGCGGTCCGGTGCGGTCGACGGAGCCGGCGCGCTCGTCACACCGAGGAGTTGGATGGGGAAACCGCCCGCCTTTTGCGGGAGTTCGTGGACTCGGCCAAATCCAGCTATGGCACCTTGGGCAGATCCAAGATGAAGAGGAACGACGTTGTTGTAGTGTGTAGGGGCACTGGTTGGAACACATCCAGGAGTTGCAAGTTGCAAGTTGATGGTGGTTAGACACATCCGGTACCTAAAAATGGTGACGCAGCCTGGATGACCCCGAAGCCCGGAGGACCTAAGTATCGCATGGACCAAAAAAGATATCCCCTGTAGGCCAAATGCCATCACAGAGAAATTGCATCAAATATCAGCAAATTAAATACCCACAGAATCTCAAAGACGACCCTTGGGCAAACTGCCACACCAAAAATGAAGTGTATAAGATTGTATAAGTATAGCCTATAGCATAGCCTACCTGCGACGACATTTCTACAGCAGCAGGTTAGAGCAGGTATTTCAGGGATTTTGCAGCGTGCTACGAGCAGATTGGAAGGAAGGCTTCTCATAGAAGAGCATGTGCAGACCCGATAGTCAGATGATGAGTTTTGCATTCATTCTTCTCATGAGAAGAAGGACGCTCCTCGTGTGGAAACATCTTGAAGCATGCAGGTGGCTCACCCAAGCTATCCCAAGCTCAGTGTTTTCTGGATTTGAGCCTGCTGAGGCTCGATGTTTGCTTTTTTGGGGGGCTCATGACTCATGACCATCATAGTCATACCATGTCATACCAAAAAAATACGGAAAGGACGCGATAAACAGGACCCCCGTTCAGAAGATTTCGTAAAAACCGAGGAGACACCTGAGACGCCGCATTTTTTGTTTGGGGGAAGAGGACGAAATCGCGACATTTCGGGCATCCATTTCGGGGTCCGGTGGACATCAGCAGGGTCTCCGAGGCTCCTTCATGGCCTTCTGGAACGAGGCCCTCGACATCCGCCACGATGACCGCGTGCTTTACCCGGAGACACCGAACTCGTGCGTGTTGACGAGTTGGGGAGGGGGCCATGGCAAAGGTCAGGCCTCCAAGCTGTTTATGTTCTGTCACACCTTTTGCTTTACTATATATTATATAATTGAAGCCTTGTACAATTTTATACTGACAATCTGGCTCAACTGTCACCTGGCGGAAAGTACCTTCATTTTCAAAAGAAAGAGCGATATGGGGAGTGGAACAAATGGAGTGCTAGGACGCTAGGAGCTTAGACCATCAAAAGCAGGAAGACTATGGAAAACTCAACCGGCAAGTCTTCCCATCCTCCCAACATATCCCGATTGGTGCTCAGATAGGTGCCACCTCGATTTTGGAACCTCTGTTTTGGTTGCACAAGTGTCAGGAAAAATGCCGGTCGACATGCATTCTAGATAGTCAAATGTTTGAGCCTTTCAGGAATCCGACTCATTTGCATGTACACTGCCGTGAACCTGCCTTAGCACCACGTGAGTTGTAGGACGTCTTGATTTGATTGTTCAACATTCCTTGCAGATAATGTCAAGCTGCAATGGCACCCGAACAACCTTTCTAAGAAAGGCCGCAAGGACATCCTCTCTTCCTCTTTAATCGCCCCACACCTCATGATGTTGGGTGGTTTTTGGCGGGTTTGTCTGGGAGCACAAGACAATAAGTCCGGAGATTGCTAAAGTGTTCCAGGTCTGGAGGGACCACAGGCCTAGTACAGACTGAGAATCTGTGGATTCCATAGAGCTTGCGAAACACCTGTGGCTAAAACACAACGGGGCGAAACACAGAGAGAAAGAGAGAGCGCCACCGCTCGCGCGCGCGCGCCACAATGAGAGGAGTTCCGAGATGGTTGCCTCATGCTGGGTTGGAACCCTCGTGATGTGGGTCGGCTCTTCGAGTTGTTGGATACCGATCGGGCACGCTACCTCAGCTGGGCCACCACCTCTTGGTGCCGCGGCGGCAGCGTGGTTTCCGATGGTTTCCGGGTCCTGAAAACTCCAGACAGACAGATGGACCTGTTTTGAGCGTCTATTTGGGAAGCACCAGTGAATCAATTGAGGTTGGAATCCGAGACCATAGAGTCGTGCTGGGTTCAGGATCATGCACACACTTGAGAAGGTTGCTCCGTGGAGCGTGATTTCAGGTAGCTTCGCGGTGTGCATTAGCCCTTTAAATCTAGATACTGCAGGAAACAACGTATGAGACAGCGTTGCACTGACTTAGAAATCTCAGCGACTAAACAGTGGAACAGCTTGAAAACAGTTCACATAGCAGGTACAGGAATGTGCGTCCACATTCCCTTCCGGCTGAATCCCATAGCTTCGTTGGCATGGCTAGGGAAACAGCTGCCATGCCCCCTGCTTCTGTACAAAAAGCTTGTAGGGTAGATTAGAAAAACTAGGGTAGTGTCCTTGGAAACAGGAGTGGACACACACACTGAGCCGTATCGGCGCAACTAGATCGGTTCAGGTAAGTTGTGGAAAATAAATAGTGGAAGAGCTTGACATGGAAAGGTTCAATACTGTAAAATACATGTCACAGCAGTCTGCGAAAGTGCCGGCACATAGTCTTTTTCCTCTTGGCCGCAGCGCCGCGGCGCAGTGTGCTGGTGAATGGCCTTTGGCCATATATAGCTGCATCAACTTCTGTGCGGTCGTGTGGGCGAGATGTTTGGGGTAAGTGTATTTTTGTAGTGTGTGGTGGCGTGATTGTAAGCCTGAAAGGCGTAGTCTGTGACTCCCTGCTGACTGCGGATCACGAATCTGCCAGGGGTGGGTGGGGAGTTGGAAGGTGACGGTTCTGTTGAGAGGGTCAATCAAGAAACCGAGTAGATGGTCGTCGTCCACTGGCTCTATTTCAACTGGTTGTTCATAAAATTCAGGATGGGCCAATGTAGTGATGGGGAGTGCTGATCTGTATTGTTCGTTGAGCAAGATGTATCGGTTGTCGACATAGCGAGTGTTGAGCAAGTGAAGGCTTGGTTGGTGTAGGAAGGTGTGATATGTGGTTTGCCAAGTGTGTTCGATGAGCGTGATTGCCACATTGCAAAGTGCTGGTGAGAGCTGACTGCCAATGCCGGCTCCTTGAATTTGTTTGTAGTAGGTGTTGCAAGCTTGGAAAATGCATGAGTGAAGGGCTTGCTGAACAATAAGAGGAATGTGTTGTGTGTCCAGGGTGCGTTGTTGTGGGTGGTGGATGTAGTGACGACCGATGTGTGAGTGTTGGATGGGATTGCCGGTAGACTGGACATCGATGGTAATGGTAGTGGTGTTGTGTTGTGCTTTCCAGCGGTTGCATAGGCTGATGACTGCGTCGACAAGGCGTTGTTGAGGTACGCTGTTGAAGAAGCCGACAAGGTCATCGTTGATCGGTGTGAGGTGGATGTCTTCGGGTGTGGTCTGGAAATGGTTGTGGAGGTGTTGCCAAAGGTTGGGTATAGATAATTGGCCTGGATGTTGTGGTAGAAGATGAAGGAGCATAATGTCTAGTGCCTTGGAGGTGGCTCGTAATAATGTGCCTGCGATGGATCTGAAGTAGCTGATGACTGTTCTACCCTTTCGCCAGGATTTCTTTTGTTTGAGGAAAACTACTCCATGTGGTGTGTAGAATTTTGTGCGAAAGCCTCAGGGGTATGCTTTGCGAATGCTGGCTGGGAAGGATTGTGTGAGAAATTGGTGGAGCTGTTGGGCTGTGAGATCTGGTAGTGGGAGAAAAAGTTGTGGTGTATTCCATGTGGTGAGACATCCGTGGAAGTAGTGCTGTGGGCAAAAGAGTCGTAGGTTTTGTAGTTCATGGTCAGCATGATGGAGTACCAGCTTGTCTGCAAGAAACTGTTGAAGCTGTGTCACGTTGCGGGAGGTAAAGCGGGGCGTGTATAGAAGATTGTCGATGTGTTGTTTCCATTGTTGGTGTAGAAAAGGTAGGCTGTGTTGATGGAGGGCAGTGGGTAGACCATGGTGTCGTAGCCAGTAAGTGAGTTGTTGTTCAAAGTGTTGGAAATATTGCGTCTTTGTGGGAAAGAAAGTGCTGTTCATGTTGGCTTGTAGGAATAGTTCAAGATGGCTGGGGAGCTGTAGGTCTTCAAGTGTAAGGACGTAGTGACCATCGTAGAGTGGTGGTGTGTGGTTGGGACGAAGCAAGGTGTGCATGTGGTGGCAGCTGCATGGCATGTCGGCGGCTGTGGGATGTGTGGAGAAGAGTTCTTCCCAACGTTTGTGGTTGTAGAGCCGGGAACGCAAAGTCTTGTGTGCTGCTTCGCGTAGTTTGGTAGTAGGGGGGTGGAAGGGAATGACGTGATGCATGTGGTGTTGGATCAGTGTGCGAAGCCATTTTTCTGTGGAAGACGAGAAGGTATTGTGGGAGAGGAAAGGAATGGTAAAGGGTTTGTTGGCTTTGGGTGGAGTGAGATTGCGAAAGCTGAGCGCTGAGTGGAGAAGGTGAAGAACACGTGATCGATCTGGTTCCTCTAAGCTGGCGGCCATTCGACGGAAAGCGTAAATTTCAAGATCAGTGTATTTGCCGCTGCGGATGGCTGTTGATGTTTGAAAAGATGAAAGTGTATGTTTGCTGAGCTCGCGTAAAACTGTAAGGGCGTGTAGGCGTTGACTTGTGTGAAGGTGGGGTTGCTTGATGGTGTGTTGTCGTCGTCGGAGCCGTTGGAAGAGACGTTTGTGAGTGGACATCCGTGTGAAGTTGGTGCGATGTTTTGAAAATTGCCAACCTGAGGCTTTGAGTTTGAGGTGTCTTTGGATATAGGGCCAATTGAGTGTGGGTTGCCATTCTTGGATCCGCAGGTGTTCGTAGGTCCATGCTTGATCATAGGTGTCGTGATGGGAAAGGTAAATAGTGCTGTAGTGGTGGAGGTTGTTCTTGGAGTGCCAGTAGCGTAGAGAAAGTTCAGCTGAAATGGGGTGGTTATTGTGTAATTGTTTGAGTTTTGCGTGACGATTGTATTCTCGCTTGGGGATAGTGATGCTGGTAGAGCCGATGTATGTATGTCCATGTTGGTGGTACTGGTGTCTTGTGTGATGTTGGTTGAAAAAGAGCTTGGCATAAACCGCATTGGGATGTGTGAACATTTGGTAGTGATAAGTGTGTGGTGTAACTTGTAGTTGGTTGAAACGGGTGCGCCATTGTATAGAGTGATGTGTTTGCGAAGGAAAGGCAAAGAGGCATGTAAGGTGAATAAGACTGACAGAAAAGATAGCGTGTGACTTGTCAATGTAGGGGGTGAAGTGGACAAAGTGTGATAGTGCTGTGTGTAATGTTGTTAAAGATTGTAGGGTGTGATGTGTTGGTTGATGCAGCGCTTGTTGTACGAGTCAGGCTGCCAATGCCGAACCCGCGGCGACCAGTTGCTGTAGTGAACGTGGAGGAAGCTTGAGGACCCGAGCCAGCGGGATGCCGTAGCGGGTAGCTGCTTCTTGGAGTTGTTCTTTGGTGATATGTTCATCTCGTAGAATCTGCTGGATGTTGGTGACTTGTGTCTGAGTGGCTGGTGGCAATGTCTTGAGCCATTTCTGAATGCCAGCGGCTGCATAGTTGGCTGGTGAGTTGTCATGGAGTGTTTGTGTGGTGGGATTGAGAATGGTCGTGGTTGTGATGGCGGTAGGGGCTGGGAGTGGGAGATGCGGTGTGTGGGTGGCGGGTAATGGGGTATGGTGCGACCCTGGCTTGGTTGGTGTGAGTGCAATGCCATGATTCTTCAGCTTATCGCGAGCGCGCTGGAGTTCGCTCTCTTGTTGTTGTAAGCGATCTGTCTGTTGCTGGAGCTTTCGGAGTGCTGTGCCTTCGCCGGCTGGTGGTGTAAGGCCTCGTAGAAAATCAATGATGCGAGAAATAAGTGGTTGCATGAATTGTTTGGCTTCTGTGGTTTTGTTTGGAATGGACTGATCTGCTTGTTGGTGCAAATATTCCGCGATGTTGTCGATGTCCAGGTTGTGGGCCCTCATCTCTGGCAGCAATTGTGAAGTGAAGACCGCTTCCGCGATAGATCTGGTGGTGACAATGCCTGTGTAGCGTCCTTGGGACAGGATGCGTAGGCTGTGGTCCTGGAGGCCAAAACGGCTGAGCTGCCATGGGAAATGTCGAGGACTTGTTGTCCTGCGAGGTTGTATTTCCTGGACCATTGCGTCGGCTGAATTGTCCGAAACAATGTGTGACCATGTACGGTATTTGTATCCAAATGTGTGTCGCTAGGAGTCCATGTGTCAGGTAGGTTGGGGATGTTGGGGGGGTACCACACCAAGCTGTGGAGGCGTTGGGTGGTGAGATGTTGCAGGTGGGGGCAGGGGTTCAGGTGGAAACGTTGCTGGTGGTGCTGGAGAGGCAGTGGGTGTATCACCTGGAATGTTGGCGTGATGTTGGTGATGCTGGTGATAGGGGTGTTGGTAGTGATGACGAACTGCATTGGTGAGAGGTCCATAGCCGGCAGTGGGTGTCGTGGTGCTGCCATAGTACTGTTGCCACCATTGTTGATGTGCGTCCATGATGGGAAATATTGTAGTTCCGTACAAGAAGGAGCAATAAGCACGAGGGTAGTCGAAACTGATGGTTTGAACCACAATGGCTGAGAAGTTAAAAATGAGACTGGAGAAAAGTCAAAATTGTGACTTGTAAAGTCGATCGAAGCTCAAGTGGCAAGCGTCAGAAAATCTCGAAGAGCAAAATACGAATGAACAAAGAATCAATACTGTAAATATTTTCTCATAGCTGGAAGGGTCAATACACTGAAGGCATTGGGTCAGAAACCATGTACATAGAATCAAAGACCTTGAATTAGGTCCGGCGCTCTCTCACGGTGGCGCTCCAGCATCATCCCACCAGGGTCCCGGAGGTCCCGTGCCCGCTTCCGGATGATTGGGTCGTATGTTGGTGGGTGTCGGCAGGCAATAGATGGTAGGTGTGCTGTTGGATGGAGATGCGAGTGGTGCGGGGATCGGCCCGATG